CCTAAAACCTAAAGAAGAATTATGGATTTAATCAACTGGTCCCTTAACAAAACTGACAACTCTGGGCTTGGGAGAGCCTGATTGTCCTGCGGAGAAGTTTGCTGCTGGATACTCGATGGTCGGATGCGTCGTGTGTCTGGCGACACTCTCGATGGAGGACATTGAACGACAGCTACCAATCTGGAACCATAATAACAGAGTTCTGGCTGATTGGAGCTGGCTTGGACCTGGCTTATCGAAGAACAAGAAGCAGCTACAGTTGTTCAAAATCCCACAAGGCTGGCTGTGTGTACTCAGACTGTGTTTATTTGAACGCAATATGGATACAATCTTGGAGAAGAACAACAGGAATTGAGAGACCTGGTGACCAGTGACGGACATTAGACGAACTGTAAAATTGGAAGCAGTTTGTTCGCACTAACCAAAACAACTACCATCTTCATCTCATGCGGGCCTCCTGACTCCAGCTGGATGCTCAAGGCAAAAGCTGATGGGAATAACATTTCTCCTTTAGATAACAAGACTGTGTTGTGACTTTCTCCCTCCTCATTCAGGGTCACCCGTGTCGACCGAAGATTGTTGACTTTTGCCTAACCGGGTTAAGGGACACTTTCTCTCGGCTAAACATGGAACACACACACTCTCACACGCACACATATGCATGTACACTGACACAGACCTACACACACCCCACCCCCTCGAAATGCCTTCGATGCTTATGTCTTCTACGTTGTGAGATGTGCTGATTCATGTGCTGAGGTGTTTTTTTCTGTTCTCAAACTGATCTCCCTGTTGGAGCTCAGTCTGGGGGGAGTTCTTTTTTCTCCTCATCTTTCCTCATGTTGTGCATTTTCCATTGTTATACCTCTCTGACCTGTCTTCCCCATGTGATGTTGTAATGTATGTATGGTTGGAAGGGTAAGATGGCGCTGGCAAAGGTCAGCAGCCTTAACCCAACAAATTTCCCACGCGTGGGACTAATAAAGGTTATCTTTATCTTTTGCTTTTTGACACACAATCATTAACTCAAGCTGAAATATTTGGATTGTGTTGTCTCTGTTACTTTAAACCACTAACCTGCACCAACAGCCAGGTGCACTGCTTTAACGCTCAACTCTTTTTCAGTCTGAACTCATGCTAAGGCAAATAATACAAGCTACTATGCTATCAGTGGCTGGCCCGTTGTTTAGTTCAGGGACTGCTGTTGCAACTAGGGAAGCAATTAAACTGACTGCTTTTCATCATAATGAGGCAATAACCTTTTTTTTCTCCCATCTCCAGTCTTTGGAGAATCTTTTCATGGCTGCATAACATGTATGTGAATTAAAAGTTTTGCATGAATAAAGTAAACTCGTGTTTTTAACTCTGTCACTTCAGTGTCATCACCAGTGCCAAAGTCCCAAGTGTGAAGCAAATGACTGAATGAGAGGCAGTCTGGAGCCAGCCTGGCATACTATAACACTTCCTCTGGCATCCAAACGTGTTCTCGTTTGTATTCTAATATGAAAAGAATATTCCTGGCCACAAACTTAGCCTGCAGCCAGTGAATTTACATACCTAAATTTAATGCTTCTCACGTAAACATAGTGGAAATACTGCTAACCCACCCAAGCCCTACGCTTGATGTTTATCCAAAAAAA